TTACGAAACGCGCTCGTGTCGCGTCAGACTAGAAATAAAAATGAATTTGGAGAATTGATTTTTGATTTACCTCCAACAGTGAAACGAAATGTAGAAAGATTGAGAAAATTCGTGTTAGAATTATTAATCTTACTTTTTCGGTCATATTTAATAATATATGTCAACAGGAAAGACTGCTACCAAAATATACTAATATATATATATATATATATATATATATATATATATATATATATATATATATATATATATATATATATATATATATATGTATATATATATATATATATATATATATATATATATATATATATATATATATATATATATATATATATATATATATATATATATATATGTATATGCAACAATGATCACAAAAACACTGATCCATATATGCAAAATAACCACATGTGAAAAATAGAAAATGCTTAACGCGTTTTCGGCTAATTCGCCTTTATCAGAGCAAAGTAGAATGAAGATAAGAAAAAATTGCTGATCAGACTTTTATATCCGCCTGGGCAGATCACCTGACCACCAAAAATAAGTGGAGGAAAGGAATTATAAGAAAGAAGGTAACTGCAGAAAGCCTATTGGCCCATACGAGGCAGCTCCTATTAATATCTCCAAGTGCCATACGTGTTAAATGATTGATATATTGTTTTGACATGCTATATTGAGGCTTAAATAGGGATCCAACTTGTACATACCGGGGCTCACATTAAGGCTGTTGTTACGATGTTTGATCAGAGCAGACTCGATCATGTTTCGTTCAACAAAATCCTTACTTTTAACAATATATTTGTTCATTCTACTTCATTTGATCTTCACTCTACTTTGCTCTGATGAAGGCGAATTAGCCGAAAACGCGTTAAGCATTTCGTATTTTTCACATGTGGTTATTCTGCATATTTAAATATATATATATATATATATATATATATATATATATATATATATATATATATATATATATATATATATATATATATATATATATATATATATATATATATACATACATATATATATATATATATATATATATATATATATATATATATATATATATATATATATATATATATATATATATATATATATATATATATATATATATATATATATATATATATTATTAAATATGACCGAAAAAGTAAGATTAATAATTCTAACACGAATTTTCTCAATCTTTCGTACATTTCTTTTCACTGTTGGAGGTAAATCAAAAATCAATTCTCCAAAATTCATTTTTATTTCTAGTCTGGCGCGACACGAGCGCGTTTCGTAAAACTTATTACATTTTCAAAGACTTTAGTTTACAAATACACAACTGAATAGAACTTACGCATCTCCGATTTTATATCTACATTTGAGTGAGGTGGATGGGGTGAGGTGGCATTAATAGGGTATTAATTTCATCAACACAAGACAGAACAAGAGGTGGCATTAATAGGGTATTAATTTCATCAACACAGGACAGAACACGAAACAATGGGTATTGAATAGAAGTGTTTGTAGAAAGCCTATTGGTCCATATTTCTTGATGCTTCTATATTGGAGCGGAGTCTTGAGGTGGGTAGAATATAGTTGTGCATTAATTGGCTGTTGATTGCAGGTGTTTACTTCTTAATGTGCAGTGCCTCGCAAACGTCAAGCCGTCTGCTATCGCTGTATCTATCGATGATTTCTGTGTTGTTTACTAGGATTTCTTTGGCGATGGTTTGGTTGTGGGAAGAGATTATATCTTCCTTAATGGAGCCCTGTTATTTATGCATCGTTAAACGCCTAGAAAAAGATGTTGTTGTCTTGCCTATATACTGGGTTATTTGGAGCTCACAGTCCCCAAGTGGGCATTTGAAGGAATAGACGACGTTGGTCTAATTTAAAGCGTTCTGCTTTGTGTCTGGAGAGTTTCTCATGAGTAGGCTGGCCGTTTTTCTGGTTTTATTGTAAATCGTCAGTTGTATCCTCTGATTTTTGTCTGTAGGGATAACGTTTCTATTAACAATATCTTTCAGGACCCTTTCCTCTGTTTTATGAGCTGTAGAAAAGAAGTTCCTGTAAAATAGTCTAATAGGGGGTATAGGTGTTGTGTTAGTTGTCTCTTCAGAGGTTGCATGGCGTTTCACTTTCCTTCTTATGATGTCTTCGACGAAACCATTGGAGAAGCCGTTGTTGACTAGGACCTGCCTTACCCTACAGAGTTCTTCGTCGACTTGCTTCCATTCTGAGCTGTGGCTGAGAGCACGGTCGACATATGCGTTAACAACACTCCTCTTGTACCTGTCTGGGCAGTCGCTGTTGGCATTTAGGCACATTCCTATGTTCGTTTCCTTAGTGTAGACTGCAGTGTGGAAACCTCCGCTCTTTTCCATGACTGTTACATCTAGAAAGGGCAGCTTCCCATCCTTTTCCATCTCGTAAGTGAAACGCAGCACGGAACTCTGCTCAAATGCCTCCTTCAGCTCCTGCAGATGTCTGACATCAGGTACCTGTGTTAAAATGTCGTCAACATACCTGCAGTATATGGCCGGTTTCAAGTTCATGTCGACTAAGACTTTTTGCTCGATGGTACCCATGTAGAAGTTTGCAAACAGGACACCTAGGGGAGAACCCATGGCGACCCCATCTACTTGCTTATACATGTGCCCATCCGGGCTCAAGAAGGGTGCCTCTTTAGTACAAGCTTGGAGTAGTTTCCTCAGAATATTTTCTGGTATGTCAAGAGGAGTACAGGCTGGATCACGATTCACTCTGTCGGCTATCATCCCGATTGTCTCGTCCACAGGTACGTTGGTAAACAGCGATTCTACGTCCAACGAGGCTCTTATCCCTGTGGCCCGTGTGCCCCGCAGTAAGTCAACAAATTCCTTTGGAGACTTCAGGCTGAAGGCGCAAAGAACATAAGGAGTCAGCAGGCCGTTGAGTCGCTTCGCCAGTCTGTACGTGGGTGTGGGTATCTGGCTAATGATTGGCCGAAGTGGGTTTCCAGGCTTGTGTGTCTTGACATTTCCATACGCATATCCAGGTTTATATTCCCCAATGATCTTTGGCAGGTGGAGTCCGGATTTCTTGGCGTTCACAGTTTCGATCAGTTTGTTGACCTTTGCTTTCAATTCGGCTGTAGTAGAATTGTTAAATTGTACTAACAGGTACCACTCTTCCACTAACAGGTAATATAAAAATATATTTAGATTGCTGTATAATATGGATCTCCACCTGTGTCCCCTAGTGCGTGTTTCCCGGGGTTGTGGTGTAACTGGGGTTGTGGTGTGGCTGTGATGGTGTGGCTGAGACGTGTGTGGCTGGGATGGTTTAGCTGGGATGGTGCGACTGGGTTGGTGTGGCTGGCATGGTTTGGTTGGGATGATATAGCTGGAATGGTGTGGCTGGAGAGGGGTGGTTGCGGGTGTTAGTATGGCTGGGGAAGGTTTGGTTGGAGTGGTGTGGCTAGAGTGGGGTGGCTTGGGTGTTAGTATGGCTGGGAAGGTGAGGCTGGGGTGGTGTGGTTGGGGTGGGAATTTAGTTAGATTTTCCACATTTTTTAATTTGAACATTATATTATTGTCATCAAATTATTCTTGTTATCATATTATTACATTAATTGTTTATTCTGTCAAATAAAGCAACATAGAAAACTTTAAAATGCGTTGACCACAAACGACCATTGGTGACCCTCGCCCCACTGGCCGCATCACCAGCTACACCCACCAGCCACACCCACCATACCAGTTACACCCACCAGCCACACCCACCATACCAGTTACACCCACCAGCCACACCCACCATACCAGTTACACCCACCAGCCACACCCACCACACCAGTTACACCCACCAGCCACACCCACCATACCAGTTACACCCACCAGCCACACCCACTATACCAGTTACACCCACCAGCCACACCCACCATACCAGTTACACCCACCAGCCACACCCACCACACCAGTTACACCCACCAGCCACACCCACCATACCAGTTACACCCACCAGCCACACCCACCATACCAGTTACACCCACCAGCCACACCCTCCTGCCACACCCACCAGCCACACCCACCAGTTACACCCACCAGCCACACCCCCTTCTGCCACACCCTCCTGCCACACCCACCAGCCACACTAACCAGCCATACCCACCACCCACACAAACCAGCCACACACACAAGCCACACCCTACATCTACATACACTAGCTGCACCCACTAGCTGCACCGAACAGCTACATACACTAGCTAAACCCACCAGCCACACGCACCAGCTACACACAACAGCCAAACCCACCAGCTACACCCACTAGCCACACCCACCAGCCACACCCACCAGCTATACACACCAGCCACACTCACCAACTACACCCACCAGCCACACCCACCAGTTACATACCAGTTACACCCACCAGCCACACCCACCAGTTACACATACCAGTTACACCCACCAGCCACACATACCAGTTACACCCACCAGCCACACCCACCAGTTACACATACCAGTTACACCCACCAGCCACACCCACCAGCCACACCCTCCTGCCACACCCACCACCCACACATACCAGCCACACGCACAATCCACACCCAACAGCTACACACACTAGCTACACCCACCAGCCATACCCACCATCCACACATACATACCAGCCACACCCAACAGCTAGACACACACTAGCTACACCCAGTAGCTGCACATATTTTTGTTTTTTTATCATAGTCTTCCTAGTCTTATATTCCATTTTCACTAATTATCGTCATGATATTGAAATATAAAATTAGTAATTAGGAAAAACTTTATGGTAGAAAAATCAGGTGTATGCACAGACAGGACACTGTACCTTGAAACATTGTAGATGTTGAGTCATGCATATTATATAAATAAAGTCTTTTTAAATAAGTCAAGTGTGTTATGCAGCATCAGATGTGTATTCAGATAGTATATATAGTATAGGCGTCAGGTGTGTTTTCACTCAAAAACTTTCAGGGTCAAACATAGTAGATAAGTTTATCTTGAAATCATAGCAAGTACTAAGTTTAGCTTCAGTAGAATATCGTCAAGGGGCGCTGGCTCACACATACTGGACCATGTAATTGCAATTATTTCTTTTATAGATTCAATATTTATATTTTTTATATCAACAATATTTAGCAGCATCAGCCCAAGAGCCTTCACATCTCGGGAATATGTCAAGTTTTTCTTTGGGTGCAGTTTGGTCTCCAGTTTTCTTCGGGTTTTTTGACTCAAGGTCAACAGGGCATCTTGTCTGAGGATTGACTGTCCAAAGTCAATTAGAAATACTTGAGGTAGCTTCTGTTGACAGAGGGTCACCCTTACATTTCGGGCATGAATATCATTATGAATAACTCCACGAGCGTGGAGCTCGCGCAGGCACTGACCAACTTTCAAAACAATATATATGATAAGCCAATCTGGAATATCTTCCCGGATAGCCTCTGAGAGTGTTAACTCGCCCCGGAAAGACATCACTATAGCTCTTGGCTTGTAGCAAACGCCGAGTAGTCTCGGAGCTCCACCTGCACCATTAAGTCTTTCCATGATAAAAAGCTCTGTCCTGAAGGCCTTTGCAGAGATTTTCTTCTTCTTCATTGTCTTCAAAATTGCATATTGTTTCCCCCAGGGAATGCGCCATACAATACCGAAATCGCCCTCGTCTATATATTGTCTCTGAGACAGGTGTTCATCAAAATTTACACTGATTATAAGAGTCTGATCCTTCATGCTGTATTATGTAATTAATCTGACTAACAATTAAGCTACTCACTTAACTGAGTGTATGTATTTGACTGACTAGATGGATTGATTAGGATTAAGCCACCAATGAGATGACACGAAATAAATTTTATTTAGTATTATGAGGTCGCAGCTATCATATATAGGGGATATTTCTTGTTCAGCTGTTGGACACTTTTTTTTTTTTTTTTTTTTTTTTTTACCTGGACTTTGTAAAACCAAGGTGGTTGCTGCAAGATTGGGAGGAGTACTCACACGTTTGTTGCTTCAGGCAGAAGATCCATTTTCTTCCGGCGGGGTTTACCAATCCCCCATTTTAATGAATGAATCTGTAACCATATTATATAACTAAACTGATATTTTCCCTATGGATTAATTCCTTTTGGGATTGCCGAGGGTAAACCTACTATCTCTGTTGTTGAATGAAAGATTCCGATGGTGATTTATTTCTACGTTGTTTTTCGTGTAGCTTTTGAGTCTGTTGTACTTTTAGTGACAGTACCTAACCAACCCTTCAATATTGAAATTGTTTCCAGTTTCCAATGCTATGGGATAGTATATTCAACATTTGAATCTTGTTCAATGGACCCCCCAACAGTTTTCAAAAAAGAATGGATAATTATTATGAAAACACATTGATTTTTATAATTTGTATTAGAAACAACATTTTTCGTTGATCTTATATTTTAAGCCTGATTTGGGACTCATTGCACATATTTTGAGTTTCCAAATACTAATTTTTATACCAAAAATATTACAATTAGTGAAAACAGGTTAAGTGATGGGTCACAATTTACCCAACTGTGGACAGTGTATGTGTGTATGTCTATAATGGGAACCCCGGTAAGAGAACCTCTTGAAACACTTGTCACATTCAAAAGGCTTCTCCCCTGTATGTAGTCGACGGTGTTCTGTTAAGGCTTCTTTTCGCTTAAATGCTTTGGGGCAAATATCACATGTGAATCTGCGTTCGTCTGAATAATTGTACTTGTGGTGGGCAAGGAACGATTGTGGATTTAATACCCCCAAATGGCGAATCAGTGCCAACTTACATTTCAACTCTTTAATATATACAGAGGTTAGTTTTGGCGATGCTGATGGTTTAGATTTAAGGGAGAGATCGATCGGTTGTACATCATCAATCAGTTGATCATCAACCTCATTTCCATCTGCTCTCATTGCATGACCATTGTTAAGAGGAGGGTAGTAGGCTAAACCGGGGGGTGCCAACAGAGACGGGTAAAACGACGAGTCAATGCTTACAACCTTGGGATTAGCCTGAGTGTTGGATGGAGCTAACTGACCCTCACAATAGTCACTGAAACGTGGAGAACGAACCTTCTTTCCATTACTAGTGGTCTGGGCAGAATCTGCATCTCTTTCATCATCCCAACTCCCCAAAATGTTATGTTGAGGTGGTTGCTGTAGTTTTTGTTGTTGTTGATGGGATTGTTCATCTAACCAGGCAAGAGTGTGTTGATGTGGGCATCGCCAGGAGACAAGAGCCTCCCCCCCCCACAGTGCCACATTCACACGCTTTTTGTCCCTTCGTCTCGCCCATGGCCCCATCGTCCATGCCTTCATGGCCTCCACCAGCGACATCTTTGATGCGCCCTTGACTATGTTGGGACTGAGAAATGTTAAGTTGAGATGGTTGCTGTTGTCCATTGTCACTGCCCCGGGGCACAAACCCAGCCCCTAGACAACTGCCTGAGTGACAGTTTCTTTGTGGTGGGATTTTCTGGTCTGGGTTGGAAGAGGGCTGTGTGTCAGGTCCAACATGCGCCATGTTCAGATGATTGATGAGCCGCTTAGTACTGGGTCCTGAAATTTTTTTAGGGATAAAGGTTGTTACATCAGACCATTATTAAATTATTCTATAAACATCCAAACAATAAAAAAAGAAATTGAACCCTATGATCATTGAGAAACAATATTCATTGCTGGTAAATTTTACATTGTAATTTTTACATCCCTAGGCATTCCATAAAATTCAATTTTAGACAATTATTGATCACAAAAATTACAAAAATTACACACACATACACAAAAACAAATTAATACTATAACCCTTAAGAAGGAACGACGAGGATACCACTTCACTCACTATACTGAATGGATTTCTTCAAGGGTTTAAACACATGTTGTCACTGGGCGTGAACTACAAGGTAGACTGAGGGAGTAAGGAGCTATCACATCCTTTTTATTCTTTGAGGACAATCTAGTGGCCAGCGACGAAGAGCTCAGGTCTCGAAGCTCCGGCGAGTATTATGTTATCCGATACTCATATATAATATTTGGCCCAATGGACTTCAGGGAGCCGTTGAGTTAACACACCATAACGCCAACACCAATATTTATGGGAAATGTCATTACTTACTTGATCAATGAGAGGACCCCCTCGTCAGAGGATTCCGAGGAGGAATCTTCATTCCTCAGATGAATCTTCGTCGTCATGGTTCACTCCAAACCCACTTCGGCTGGCAATGTTTGAAAGGTTAAAAATACTTTTGAATATTATCTTATAGACCTGATGCTTCATATACTTCTTCTCCCTATCCTTCTGCCAATCCTTCTTCTGCCAATTCTTATTTCTTTTCTTGGAGGGTGGGTTAAGATCATTATCATCTGATGAGGTCTTTTTGATCAATGAGAGAAGCCCTTCATCAGAGGATTCCGAGGAGGAATCTTCAGATGAATCTTCAGATGAATCTTCAGATGAATCTTCAGATGAATCTTCGTCGTCCCGGTTCACCACTCCAAACCTACTTCTGATGGCATTTTTTATTAACATCTTCATATCCTTCTTCAGCTTATCCTTCTTTTGCCAATCCTTCTTCTGCCAATTCTTCTTTCTTTTCTTGAAGGGTGGGTTAAGGTCATTATCATCTGATGATGTCTTTTTGATGTTGAATTGAAAAAATGTGTCAGTTTTGGAACTGTGAATGGGTTTACAAGATGGAGGGAAGGTGATTTTTTTTTTTTGGGGGGGGGGGGAAGGTCTGGGGTAGATTCAGTTAAGGGAAACTCATCTGGGTCAATTTTGTTCAGAGTGAACAATGACATGCTAATTTGGGGAAGGGAATTATCCATACGGATACCATTCCATATGTTTAATATGTGAAGGGGATCGGGGTCTTTGCCACATACAGTTTTGACAAGCATGCATTCACCTTGTACGATGGAGGACATTTACTCACTAAAACCTTTGGAGTTAGTAGAATTAAAAAGGGGAATGGGACTGGACCCAGCATAAAGACGTACACCCAGACAGGCACCGGCTCTATCAACGAGACGAATTGGGTTTTGTCTGATCTCTCTGTTGGTGTGAAGCTCTTTATATAAAAACGGTCCAAGTTGTTATTTTTTGGGCCTCAGAATACCACCGGATGACACACACACACACACACTACTATATACTATTTTGAATAGGGAATTAGTGAAAATCCTCTCGTTGGCTCCGCCCACTTCACCCGTGATTGGTGCTCCATCAAGCCAATCACAGCAGACCGGCCGCACAGCTACCACGACTCACACACCAAACACTTAATTGTTTTAAAACAGTAAAGTTAACTCTTTTTTAATACTTATTTAAAAAAGAAAGAATAGCTCGATGACAGAATTGATGATAAACGAAATTGACCATGGTCTTCAGCCTTTTATTCACATCACCCAAAGTTTGGTTGATGAAAATAAATCTTTTTTAAATACAAATAAGTATCTGACAGATTTGACAAAAAACATTAAATTGTCAAATCTTCATCACCCAGCCAAATCTTTTATTAATTGTATCAATGAAAACCTAAATTTTAAATCCCAAAATGATTTTAATAAAATTATGAAAAACATTTTGCATGGTGATGTAGAATCCCCTATTCTAAATATTATAGAAAACAAAGCTCTTAAACAACATATGTTAAAAAAATACCCATTTAAACTCTATGAAGAACACATTAACAATGTAAATAAACTTGCCCAAGATCTTGGGTTTGAAAACGAAACTCAATTTCTTGAATATTTAGAAAGTAATCCTTCACCAACTGATTCCAAATTAACTAAAATTTTTAACACTATGACCAAATGGGCTGGTAAACATAAAAGTTTGATATTGAAATCTGCGATATTATTAGGTGTAGGTGTTGCTTTTCTTGAATATTTGAACAAATACAATCGGAAGAACAGTGGTTGTTTTAGATACCATGTTGGAAAAGGACATTCCCAAAAAAAAGAAGTATATTTGACCAGATTTTGTAAATTCCCTATCAATCGGGTTGATTATATTAACTATGAAATACTAAATAATAATACTCGTCCATTGTTCAATAAAAAAGTCTGGAACTGTCAATTTGATATTCCAAATTCTGCAGAAACCCAAAACATATTAAATTTGGGCTGTAAGGGAATATGTTGTCCCCATAACTACAATTATCTTTCACAATTTGTCCAGGGTTATGAACCTATTTCTAATTTAGAAAATAAAGAAATATTTTATATATATAAATGTGAACAGGGAACAATTTTAAGAAATATTGCCAAAATTTTAGGAGATGGTATTGGCGAAGTGATTCAAGGCATTGGGCAATCTGATATATGGCAGTTTATATTGAAATCAATTAAAAATATTGGCTGGGTTATACTTTTAATTTTATTATTAATAATAATGTTAGGCCCATTGATAATGGTGATCAAATAGCGACATATGAGTGCACTAATGGGTGGTGTGGTGTATGGTGCATTGATGTAATAATATACAATATTTACTCACTGAGCTTATTTGCCAAGAAAATGTTTAACTACCATTGCAACATTCATTAACATATTTCATAAATAATTCTCGAGGTAACCCACCATATTCATATGCAATGTATAAGAAGGATATACCCCAGGGGACCTCTGTTATATGTCCATCAATATTTCGTAAAATTTTCCATGATTTTAAATTTTCTTTTTCCTTTTTTAAATAGGAAATTTTATATTGAACTTCAACA